ATTATTCGCGTCTCACTGCCCTCAAAACCGTGATCCATACTTTGGGACCACGAGTACGTTATAAGAGTGACGACAAAATCATATTATTTGATTACAGTAGTCGAAGAGTTGGCTGAATGGGTGCTGTTGACCAGTTGTCTTCCTTCTAGTTTATACTTTCAAAAATAGGGCCGGCTAATGCTACACAAGTAGCCCTTGTGTAGCTTGGTGCAAATACTCGAAACAAACAGTTAAGTACAACTGCCGGGCATTATTTTCGGTCAGAACCTAAACATTCAAAACTCTCGTCATTTGTTCTACCTGCTATGTAAAAATTCAGCATTGCTGAGTTTAAAAAGTATAGCTGTGAACGGTGGTCTGGGCCAACTTTTCCACTCGAAGCGTTCGTCCGATGTAAAGATGCTCAAGCTCCGCGCGGTATTATACGTCATTTTCTTGTGGAGTCGGTATTAGGTATTTTGCTACTGATCTCTTCTCACAGTTGAGCCCTAATTCATGGAATTAAGACGGTGAACTGCTTCAAAAATCGAATCGATAGCCCGATTGTCCAAACTAGGACTCTCATGGAAATTATTTGCTTGATTTCTAACTTCCTGGAAGATAGAAGCATCAGAGTAAATGTTAAGGGCACCTACTCCGAGTGCTGAACTTCGGAAGCGGGTGTCCCTCAAGGAGGAGTATTTAGCCCTACACTGTTTATCATGTATGTCAGAGACATGCCTTTCAAAGACCCAAACCACAATTTTTGCTCACAGTTCGCAGATGATGCTGCAATGAGGAAGAGTGCCCCAAACCCAACAACAGCAACATACAATATACAACCACTACTAAACGATATATAATTGTGCTGCAATAAATGGAAAATTAAAATAAATCATACAAAACCAGTAATATAATACCACAGTTATATCTAGACGGGATTATTTTACGGGGAGCAACATTAGCAAAATACTTAGGGATTATATTTGATTTAAAATTGAACTGGATGATACACATTAATAGCATAAAAACCAGAATTTTGAAGAAAAAAGAAATGAGTTACCTTAGGAATACCATCAGAAGACATGAAATATGTACATAACTATTCAAACATGCCAACACTATCAGACAGACTCTTGGATAATTTGCTTCAATATTATAAAGAAAAATATTAATACAAACTAGCAGAGATTTCAGGCCAAATTAGTATCTTTATCGTAACAGTACTTCTTTAAATATAACATTTATAGTAATCGTAGACAACGAAATGTGTAAATCCACTTGTATATAGGCCGTACTTTAT